ATTCCCGATCTCAACAAAAAATCGGCCCTTTTCAGGGCCACCAAATAATTTTTATAAAGAAATTTTAGAAAATCAAAAAATCTTCTCCATTTCGTTTAGCATTCAATTTTGATGAAAAGAATATTTGAAAAATAAAATGATTAAATCCTGCATAATATGAAATGATCCCAATGCTTTAAGATTGCATATAAAACTTATAATATATCAACCATTCCACACGAACAACTCCGAATTGACTGGGAAAAAAATGTTGTCGTATATTTTTAATGTTGTTTTTTATACCAATGGGCGCATACCATGTAACAAAATTGGCGTTGACCAATTTTCTGTGAACTTGAATGGGAAATTCAGTTCTGAAAACGAAATAATTAGAGTTTATTTATGATCGATGTATCGTGAATGATGATTTTTTTATGAATTCTTTATAGAAAATAATTTGGTAGCTCTGAAAAGAGCTGTTTTTGTCTCGAATATCGAGGGATTTTTTTCATGACTAATAGTCATTTGACGATGAATCATTTACGCTTTCAGTACTTTGCCAGCCTTTGGATTTTTGGCAGCAGCTGGTTTCTTGGCTGTCTTCGGCTTTGGTGTCTTTGGCTTCTTTGGAGCAGCCGACTTCGATGGTTTGGTTGCCTTTTGCTTTGATGGAGCCTTCACCTTTGGCTTGGCCGATTTCACTTTTGGTATACCGGCTTTCTTTGCTACTTTGGCTTTGTCCGAAACGGATTTCTTTGCGGCTGGCTTCTTCTTGGCGCTTTCCTTCTTGGCAACGGGTTTTTTTGCTGCCTTTGGTTTCTTCGGTTTGTCGGCTTTTGCTTTCTTCACCGGTTTCTTCTTCTCGACCTTCGGTTTGAGAGCAGCAGCCGACAATTTGAATGAGCCGGATGCGCCTTTACCTTTGGTTTGAACCAATGTTCCCTTTTCGACTGCACCCTTCAAGTACTTCTTGATGAATGGAGCCAATTTCTCGGCATCGACCTTGTTGTTGGCGGTGATGTACTTCTTGATCGCTTGCAAGGATGAGCCACCGCGTTCCTTCAATGCTTTGATTGCGTCATTAACCAAAGTGGCGGTCGGTGGGTGAGTTGGTTTCGATGCTGGCTTCTTGGCTGTTGGTGCTTTTGGTGCCTTTGCTTTCTTGGCAGCCGGTGAAGCGGTGGCTGGAGCTGCTGCTGCTGCTACTGGTGCTGAGTCGGCCATCTTGATTTCTCTTGGGTTGAATATTCGCTTTGTAAACTCAGTGAACAAACTAATGTAGCTTACTTGGCGATTCAGTAGGTACGTCAATTGAGACCATTCCTTACGGAACGAATCGATCGAAAATCGTTTGTCTGTCGATTTTCTTTAGTAGAAAAGTGAATATCTCATCTTTTGTTTTTCAAAATATTTGTTAAAGATTTCGTATCGTTGAGTCGATTCAATATTTTAAAACAACTGAAAATAATTGAATTTATAAATTTGCCATGAACAATTTGGAATCGTTTATTTTATATAAGAAATATACCGATTTAAAGACAAATTTTCGTTTCGTTTGGCACAAATTAAATTTCTAAATTTAAAACATTTTACATATTTAAAAAAAAAATTGATTTTTTTTGGTTTATTATGCTTCAAATACTATTCGAAATTTGGAATAGATTGAAAAAACATGAAAATTTCCAGTTAGTTTGGCAAATTTGAGCCAAAGAAGATGGGGCAGTTTGCATCAAAGAAATTTCAATTTGTACTGCAGTCTCCTGCCAATGCATAAAATTTCGGAAATCCACAGAATTCAGAATTTGTCGAAACATTTCCCAATTTTTTACTTTAATTTATAGAGATCGTCCCGTTTTAGAGGTAAAACACAATTTGATTGAAAATTGACAAACAAAGTGGAGAAAAACGTCAAAAACATGTTCTTCTGGTACTATGCACCAAGTATCTCGAAGGTGATTAGCACGATGTTTGCAGTTCAGAAGCATATATAATGAAAAACTGTTCTTGAAAATGAATAAATATTGAGAATTATTTATTTAAAGACAGATTTGAGATTGTTTTGACCAATTTATAGAACAAATTACGATTATTTTATGTTTCCCATAGTAACAAGACAAAAACGTTGTCTGTATGTATGTGTACCTTGTACCCGCGCAAGAAGCTATATTGTTATGAGGTCCATTTTGGCAATATTAATCCTTTTTTTATTCGATAAAAATAATTTGAACCATGTTTAATTCCATGGACTAAGAAAGGAAAATGATGACGGTTTTAATAGTTTCATAAAGCATAGCACTATACGTTATACACCCAATCGCAGTAATCAACTGTGACGATGCGATCATGGTGAAAGTCAATTTTCAACATACCGAGTTTGACGAATAACAATTTCAATGCTATTTCATATTAATATTTTCCAATAAAATCAAATTGGTTTTTTGCTTTGTCCAAACTGAAAAGGAAATTTTATGATATGTATGTGGATAAAATCAGCCAACAAAGTATTTTTAGCTGTGGAAAATATTCAGGTCAAACGCACATATTTACGCTGGGCGTTCTAGGCTCTCACAGAGATAGACTTATTTTTGATTTTTTGCTGTTGTATTTTTTCGGATTTTTATTTTATTTGGGTAAAAAGAACTAATAACATTTTTGTTACGATTGATTTTCAATAGTTTATATGACACAAAATGCAAAGACGTTTGAGTTTGAATTAGTATGAATAGGTAATTTTGCATCACTGCAAAATAAACGTCAACCAAACAAAACATGATAATTCGACAAAGAATTTATCAACCACATAAAACACCACAATTTCGTTACGTTTCCATAATGGAAATGCTCCATTCAATTTTATTACTTTTGACGTTGTTTAATCTAAAAATTACATACACAAGCTACCATTTAAATATTTAATAGCCATTATTCGTAATGCAATCTTTCATTTCAAAAATTGTTGTCGTTCAATTTGAAATCCCTACTTAATTTGTGTAGCCTAACAATAAGTTCATCGACATCGATTTGACCGTGGACTGTTCCATCCCTAGTTCGAACATTGACCAGATTTGTGTTAGCTTCCTGTTCGCCTACCACCAAAATAAAATTGTATTGTCCGACCTGAGCATTACGAACTTTCTTTTTCATTGTTAATTGTGGATTAAAATCAGCGTCAACGCAAAAATTGGCTTCGTGCAATTTGTTCCTAATCGTTTTTGCATATTCATCGAAGATTGAATGAACTGGTACAACCATAATTTGATTTGGTGATATAAAGAATGGTAGTCGACCTTAAAGGTAAGAAGAAAACAAGTCATAAAACACAAACGTTTGCATTATTTTACAGTTGCAATGACTCACCACCAAAATGTTCGATTAAAATGGCGATGAATCGTTCCAATGACCCAAAAATAGCGCGGTGAATCATAACTGGTGTATTTTTTACGTCATTTTCGCTGTCGTAGGTCAGTTCGAATCGCTGCGGCAGTAGAAAATCCAGCTGAATGGTACCGCATTGGTGTGCTCGTTTCAGAGCATCAGTAATTGTGATATCAATTTTTGGACCATAAAATGCACCGTCACCGGCGTTCAGTTTCCACGGTTTACCAAATTTGTTTAGAGAACTTTCCAATGCCAACTCAGCACGATTCCATACATCCAAGTCACCGAGATAGCTATCGGGTCGCGTTGAAAGCACCAAACTGAATTCAAATCCGAATGTTCCGTAAATATGTGACAAAAATTCCAAGCATGAATCAATCTCACTTTGGATTTGATCGGCTTCGCAAAATATGTGGGCGTCGTCTTGTTGAAATCGTCTGACTCTCGTTAGTCCGGTTAATCCACCGGTTGGTTCATCTCGATGCAGAACACCAAAATCAGCAAATCGTAACGGTAGGTCACGATAAGATCTAATTTTGTGTGCAAACATCAAGCAATGACCTGGACAATTCATGGGTTTTAGCACGAATTCGTCTTTGTCTCGCGTTTTAAATGAAAAAATATTTTCAGCATAATGATCCCAGTGGCCAGACACTTTCCATAAATGTGATTTAAAAATGTTCGGCGTTATTACTTCTTGGATTCCCCTTTTTCGGTACTCGTCTTTGATGAAGTTCAATAGTGTGTTGTAAATGTGGGCGCCTTTTGGCTGAAAGAAGCATGAGCCTGGTGATGATTCATGGAAAAAGAACAAATCTTGGCTACGGCCAATTTTGCGATGATCACGTTTCGCAGCAGCCTCTTGGTCAAGTGCCCATTGTTTGAAATCTTCATCCCGAGGGAATGCAATTCCACTAATCCGATTTAGTTTTGTATCATCTTTTGTCACGACCAAATTACTCTATAGCCAAGTTCACATTGAATAAAAGATTAAAAATGAGATTCACATTTTTTTACAGAAGCATTTTGGTTACTTACACTCAGAATTTTAAACATTTTTATCACTCCTGTGTGTTTAACGTGCGGACCAGTACATAAATCAATCAATGTCCCGCATCGATAAACCGTTCCTCGTTCGGCGATTTGTTCCCGAATAATTCGCAACTTGAATTCGTTGTATTTGAACAATTCAAGTAAATTGACCTTCGACACATCGATTCTTTCGAATGGAATTTTATGGCGAAGAGTCTTCTTGATTTGTTTGTCGATTATGGGGAAATCTTTCTCTGAGATCTATAAAAGACATTCAAAGTGATTATAGGGATATTGAAAGAAAAACGCATTTTAACTCACAAGTTTGTCGTTGTTATAAATGTCATAAAAGAAACCATTATTGGTGGCTGGACCACTGTTCAATAAACACCCGTGAACTATTTCCAAAGCCGATCCCAATACATGAGCTGAGCTGTGCCATAGCACTTCTTTCGCCAGTGGATTGTCAAAATTTACCAATTCCATTTCGCAATCATTTTCCAGAGGTCGATTCAAGTCCCACAATTCGTTGTTCACTCTGGCTACGATTGCGTGTTTAAGTGCATGTTTGTTGATTTCCCGGAAAATCTCATATGGTGTACTACGCCACGAAACACCACCTTCGTACACTTGACCATGTTGAACGCCAATTTTAATTGGTTTACTTTGTTTCGTTTTCAAACTTTCATCATATTCAGCTTTCAGCTTGTGCCACAAATTAAGTCTTGTTTCAATAAAATCAGCTTGTTTACTCTCACTGTTTCCATGTTCACTCTCAATCGAAGCTGTTGAGATATTTTTACCGAATGTTGCAATGGTATATTTACAACTTAATAGCCTTAAAGGCACATTTTTATAGTGAAAGCCGTTAATATTTAGCAGCCTCATGATTTTAACAAATAACTACGGCTCACCATTGAAAGTGTGTGTCATATCAAAACAAATAGACATAACCTCAGAATTTGATTTGACAGCTTCGTCGCCGCGGGTAAGATGAATGCTGTAATGTGAATGAACTTTTCCATAGTCCTAATTTGATGAATAAAACCAAATATCTGTGTGCTCTTTTTTTTTTTAGTAAAAATCACTTCATTTATTCTATAAAACGTTAATTGTATATTGGGTTTGTTTTATTTTTTTGCAAATTTCAGATGATTTTAAGTAACTATTTCATGTAATTGTTCCGTTTCGTTTATTATTGTTGTTATTGTTTATTATAACTGATATATAAATTAAATGTTTACTGAATTGTCATTACGAGTTTCGAACAGTTTTAGATTAAATTAACTAATGTCATAGTTAGAAATTTACTTAAATTAGCATAATTGGTTTCCATAATGAAGAATATGCTTATTGTTTAGTACCAATTTTTATAGAACAACATGTTTGATCACTAAATGTATGTAATCATTTTTTATGTTTCAAATAAAAAAAATCGACGATTTTCTTCACGACATCAAATTATATGTGTCTTTTATGTTTGCGCTTCATATTCCAGGAAATATAACATACTCAATTATATCTTCATAGATAATCATCAAACTGCGCGTACAAGTTTGCTTTTTTTTTTTCTGTATTATTGATATAAACCTAAACGTGCATTGTGTATGCTTAAAAAATAATGGCCTATTCTAGCGTTCGAAATTAATGCCGTGTTCGTTATTAATATCGATATTTTGAGTGAGCTGAGCTATTGTAATTCGTCTGATAAGTTACATTTCGATATATTTTCCATTGGCTATGGTTCGTTTGTTTTAATAGAAAATAAAAACTCTCAAGATAACTGATCTCCAGTTCGAGAGAAGATACGTCTCAATTGCACCATTGTGTGTGTGTATGTGTTTGTATAAATAAAGCAAAAAGGAAAAACAATATTTTAGCTATGATTTTCAGTTTTCACTTAAGGAGGCACAAACTAAAATAAAATAAGATTACTTAATTATATATAGAAGAAATCAGCAAAAAATGAAATTATTTGAGTTTGGAGTTAGACTCTCAGAATTTCGCACGCTTTGTTATAGCAAATGGCGATCCAGTCTGGTTGTGTTGCACCCCATTGGATCTGATTTACTTCGCCTTCGGCTGCTGTGTATGCCAGTATTGGGTCTTCGATGGCTCGTGGCATTTGCTGAATATCCCAAATTAGCGCTTGATGGTCATCGCCGGCTGTGCATATGTGACAAGAGCTGTTTTTTTTTGTTGAAATTTTGAAAAATCATTATTTTCAATTCATATTCCATTTCAAAAATCATACACGATCAAAATAAATAAAATACAAAAAGTTTTCTAACTACTAAATATATTGTTATACAAACCTATGCGGTGCCCATGCAATGCCATTAACGCAAGCCCGATGGTTTGCGAGCCGAGCAACTGGTGTGCATGGTACACGAACATCCAAGATGATCACTTCGCACGAGTCCATCGCAACGGTGGCCAAATAATTTGGATCCTGTTTGTTCCAAGCGAGTCGCAATAATGGAGTATGTGTTGGATCTTCATAGATGATTGTTGAATGTTCCAAATGACGCAAATCAAACATACGCACCGACCCATCAGCTCCGACCGAAGCAAACATATCACGACCGCCTCCAGCTCGTGAAAATGCAATGTCGTATACTTCCTTATCGTGTGCAATCAACTGTGTTTTAACATGGCCGGCAACAAGATTCACTCTTCCCAATGGCTGACCAGTTTCTAGGCCCCAAATAGTGCATGTAGTATCAATTGACGACGTTCCAACCAAATTCGGATCAACTTCGTTCCAGTCAAACGATGTAAGCGGCGCACAGAAATCACTGTTTTTGTTATTATTGAGCACACACTCAAGCCGAGTGTCTGGCTCACCAGCTCGCCACACACGTAAATAATCGCCACTTGTTGCTAGCAAATCCGGATAAATTCCTTTTGAATCTGGAATCCACATGATTTTTGTCGTTGGATACGGATGGTCGAATGTACTAAATGAACATAAGCAAAGAAACCAAAACTTATTACGCGAAGGAAAAAATCTAAGTAATAATTTTTATTGGATTATAGGCCATACCTTTTTGCACTGAATTCACTTGTGTCTTCGTCCAAACTGATAATCTGTACTTTGTTGTTGTATTCTTCGATGAAACTGCCGAGTGCCAACCGAAATCGTTTGTCTGGTCGAACGCTCCAATTCATTGAATACAATGGCCATGGTGCCAAATATTTGTAAATCTCTTTTCGCTTTCCCGTGCTCGACGACATGATGTACTCGACTCGAGTGGGCGGTCTCTATGAATCGTTTTCTGGAACAATATTATTATTTTCATTCAGTTCAAACAAATGTTCACTAATCAGATGCTAGATAGAAAAAAGATGAACATATTCAAAGGCGACACAAAGGCGAATTGATGCTTTAAATAAACAAAATGTCAAATGTGGCATTAGGAAGTTCAGTGTGTATGCATATATATTATGTATACGCGCTGTTTATACATAACAAAGACGACTGGATGCAATATTGCACATTTTCACGCAAAGAGAACGTGTTTCTAACACACTTCTTTATCTAATACTTACTTATTTCGATGAATTGGATGTTTCAATGTTATAAATCGAATGCAAATTTGATCAAATTTACAAATTGTCGCGATGATAAAAGGGATGAATAAGCAAGACGGAATTTGTTTGCGGTTTTTACGTCACACACACACACTCTGCTTCAATTTTGTCACAATATCACGGCAAATCAAATAAATTTCAAAGAAAATTTTGCATAATTGTTTCGAACGGAGTTTTAAATTGATTTTGGCATTTATTTGTTTCGGACTTGAGGCGATTAAATAAATCTAATTCGGTTTGTTATTACAAACATTTTACAAAAACACTAATCCATGCGAGATTTAGTTTATATTCCTCTCGAACGGACTGAATGGTATGAAGTTGGTTGCGATCGCAACACCAAAGCGTCAATTTGGAATGAAAGTGTTATATGAGACTGGTAGAAGTTATTTTGTACCGGGTGGCAACACATAAAATAAAAAATAACCGAATTCAAGAAAGAGAGCAAAGTTTTTATTGTGGCAATGATTTCATATTGAAATTGTCATCAATCCAATTCGACAATATTTTCTATGCGCAGTTGACAAATCTTTTTCACATTGTTTATTCCATTGGTGATTTCCTGTTCACGATTATTCGGCAAACGTTGGTGAAGTCCTTCGAGGATACGCTCGATTTTGTTATTTTGACGAACACAAATCACAAATGGAAATCCAAATTTCTCTGAATATTCCGCGTTCAATTTAACCAACTGGTTTTTCTGCTCATCTGTCAGTTTGTCTAGGCCAGCCCCAGCTTGTTCGTTTGCTGAATCAACGCTGAGTTTATTTTCAAAAAGCAATTTTCCAGCCAAATCTGGATGAGACTGTAGAACAGCAACTGAAACAGCAAAAAAAGACAACTTTTAATATAAAAAATAATTTTTTACTGACATTTTCTGAATGCACTTTTTTCTGCTACATCCAAATTTTCCAAATAATTATTAAATGCAACAGTTAACTCGTTGAGACTGTCGAAAGGCCGTTGCAACACGACTGTTTTTGCTGCTTTCGGAAATAATTCAACCACATTTTTGAACAGTTCTTCGAACTCTTCATCCAACAACTCATTTACGTCGGCGATTTTCATTTTTTCAATAAATATATTAATCAAACAACTGAAGCACGGCTAAATCACCAAAACTAAGCTGGTAATGGTTGATTATGACTGAACATTGTAGACACTGAAAATTTCTTATCAATATTTTTTTGCTCGTCACTGATTAACTTTAAACTGTTACCAAACCACATAATGTTGAGTCGTGAGCATGTAATATTGCTGAAAATGTTATCAAAATTGGAATATTGTCTTTGTAGTGGATTATGGAATAGATTACAATTTTGTCGTGTTGTGTTGTGTGATTTACGATTTGTTCACAAAAAGATTTTATTTTGCTTTATTTTTGATCACATATTTTTGTGGATTACCAACGCCGACATTGATAATCGAAAAAAAAAAAATTCGGTTTGATACATAATCGAGCTTCTATGGATTGCATAGAGTAATAAAAAATGAATGTTCTAAGGCTGGAGTTCATTCCATGTTTGCAATTTTCTCGATAATTTGTTCATATATGTCGATTCCTTTCAAGTAAACATCGGCATTCAAATATTCATCGTTTTCAACATAGGGCATGTGTTCATTATGGGTGAGAAACCAAGTGCGGGGATGAGCAGCTTAAATTAATGATTAAATAAACAATCAATGTTATCTTATGAATCAATTTAAAATACAATTAAATCTATCGGCTATCAGTACCGACATGAGATATAGCTGGAGTCACATTTAGTCCTCTACGAATCGAAATATAATTTAATTTTATATTATACAACCGAGAACCGGATAAACTGAAGAATTTCTTTCAATGGAGAAAGCTTACAATTTATCAGTGGCGTTTTTAAAAGCAATCCAGTATTGATTTGAACTATTGACGTCCGTTGGCGGTGGTTTTATGCCCCTGTTTATGTCGAGTACAATGTTTTTTCCTGCTTCATTTGCCCATCTTTTGATCTAAAATGTAATGAATTTTCCGATTTTTTCTATGAAAATAAAATGCATTTATTCAACAAGAGAAGATAATTTACTGTTTGTTCAAATATGTCGCCATCTGCATGGATTGCTAAGCGTACATCGAAATAAGCACTCATGACCGGTGGAACAACGTTGCCCCAAAGGCCATCAATATTGTTAAATTTATACACTTCAGCAAATTTACAGTGCTCGAGGTCTTTCGCAACTTTTCTGCAGACAGTTCCCGCTCATCTCCTATGAGTTTCGCAGAAAACGCGAAGGATGATAACAAAAACATGCCATAGGCCGAAGTTTTTGATTTGCGCCCAATTGATAAGAGATAAGAGATAGCTGTCTTCAGCAATGTTATAGAGGATCTTGAGTACTACAACTTTTTCGAAGACAACTAGCTGTTATCTCTTATCAGTTACGTGGAGACCGTGAAAAACCGGGACGACCCGCCAAAAATGAACATAAATTCTTTCAACCATTGTCAGTTGCAGTAAAATATATTTCACTTTATTGCTACGACGTTTGACAAACTTGTGTTCTTCTAGGTCTCACCAATTCATATCTACTATCGACCCACTTTGTTTTCAAGGCATTCAAATGCACGCAATCATCAATTACTTGGCCATAGTTCGCTATTATTTATTGATATTATGAATAGCATTATTGAGCATTATTGAGAATTCCGAAGGATTATTTGGGATTATTTTTGTACTAGATTGCATTATTTGAATTATACAAATCTAGTACTTTCCCCCTTGTTTCAAACGTAGAAAAAATAAAAAGAATTACATTGTAATCCCGAACTTTTCCGTACCGTTGGCCTGCGTTGTCCGTAGGTACTTTTGGTTATTTTTTGTGAATTTTCTTGAAATGAAGGCAGTGAAAATAAAATAATAAAAATAAAGTGAAAAATCGGTCACTTTAACTAAAACTTCGACAATTTTGTATGAGAGGTACCCGTAAACCGATTCTCATTGGCTTTAAACTTTCTGAGGTTTCATATTTTGGAGAAAAAATAAAATTCTGAAAGTTTCATGTTGATCGCATTTGCAGAAGTTCGGATTTTGGCCCTCAATTTTTTCCAAGAAAATGTCGACATAATTGAGGACAGAAAATCAAACTTCTGCAAATGCCATCAACATGAAACTTTCAGAATCTTATTTTTTCTCCAAAAAATGAAACCTCAGAAACCTCGATTAACGGGTACCTCCCATACAAAATTGTCCAAAAATCGGTAATTTTAATCAAAATTTCAAAAAATACCTGCCATACAAAAGTGTCAATTTTTTGAGGTTTTTCTTAGGGCAAGTATCCCAGGATCAAATCGAAAATGGCTCATCTTCGGACTTAAACTAAGTTTATTGGATACAAAACTTTTGGGACTTTCAGATTTGGATTATCTCAATTATTTTTTTGAGTTATCGTGTTAACAAACACCAACGACGACAACGACGACGACGACGGCACACGAACGGAAAAGTGTCTCAAAAAGTGGTTTTCTATGCGTTTCATGAATTTTTATGATGATCTAAACCAATTTGGCGGAAAAAGTTTTCGGGACCAATTCCTATACTTTCCCTTGACACGTTGTGTACGGAAAAGTAAAAACAATTTCGCCAGTTTCTATGTGCTTAATGTGTAGCGAAAATTACATCGTTCCATAAATTTTATATCCATTAGACTTGACAATCATGACTTGGGATCGTGACTTTTAATCAGTAAGGATGAGAAATATTTTTGACTCGTACAATTGCATACAAACATCCTTTGTGACAATAACTCATGCAGTAAGTACCTTACATAGCAATATAAATCAGTGCAACAAGGTTTTTTTTATTTAATATAGCATATTTAAGTTTCGACTCTTGATACCTAAACAAAGTAAAGAACGTCAAAACAACTTTATTAATGTTATTCATTCGAAAATTTGACCATAGTAGAATTTAAACGAGTTCACTGATCGAGTAATACTGGAGTTGTCCACAGTGAAATGCTGCTCTGGTGGTTTTCACATTCAGCAATTTCGTTTTCTAAATTTGTGGTCTCGTCTTTAGGCACTTCTTTGTGTAGCGAAAAGTACAAAGCACCTGCAACTTTAACAAGGCTGAAATGCTCGAAAGAAAAATATTCAATTTTGGCCCAAAGCAAAATTAATTACTCATATTTACCAAGCGCATACGATTATTTAAAATTTGACATTGCATATGTAACGAGAATACGCTAAGTCAAAGTATTCTATCCGTATGCTTTGCATGCGCTTCACGCTAAAAATATGCCTTAAATATACCTTCGACTCTACATTAAAGTACGTATAAAATAAGCGTAAGCGTGAAAAGGGTATAAACGTAGCGTGCGCAGGGAATACACGCGGTATATTTGTAGCGTAGTTTTTTTTTATTGAGTTATGATATCAATACCACCACGATCAACTTGCATGACGTTCCATACTCACCAACGACATTCAAATATATGGCCAAACGGATTTCTCGTTTCGAGCAATTTAATG